ACGTCCCAGACCGAGCCTGTTTCTCCAACTGTTGCCCGCATCGTCGTCCCATTTCCGGCAGAATGCGACGGAAGGCATTCTGCAAGAGACCTTCCAGTACCAGTCTAGGGTCATTGCTATGAAAAGGAGTATATCCAAACAGTTAACATCATATTGAGGTAGCAAATGAAGGTCATTGCTGTCCAGTAGAAACTCGATAGACGCTTAGCTCCTCTTGCTTACTCTGCGAATCTGAAATACGTTGATTTGACTTTGACATGTTCGATGAAAGTCGAGACCAATCAGATGGTAGATTAAACCTTACAGACAATCGATCAATAGGGACTTGATGACTGGTCCCAAAGGAAACAGCGAGTTTTGTTTCCTCGAGACCCTCAACGTTGCCGAGCGGAAACAAAACTCACTGTAAACTCACTGTTTCACTAGAGGCCAGTCATTAAGAGTTGGTGAGTTTTGACCCACGACACTTGACGCGTTCTCCTCCAATCGGAAAACGTATTTGAGTTGGAGGTATAACGTTTATTAATCTCGCATCTGATTCTAATATTCGCGTTATCTGAGTAGTATAATAATATGGTATTGCGTATCTCACGGTCTCATGAGCCCGAGGGCATGAAGAGGACAGAGTGAGTGAATTTCTTAGCATGTAACCTTAGCATGTCTGAGATGTAAAGGACTGTAATACTCCGGTGATCTGTTGAAGACACAAGCGATCGAAAGTCACTTTGGGAGAGTATGCTGCCACCATTACTGAGGTCGAAACAAGATTATTATTCGATAACTTACCTTACTAACATCTTCACCACGTTAACAACCATTTGACACTCTCTTTTGTATACCTACAACGACAAACAATGACAAAGAGCCATTAATCATTGACTGTGAAGGTGATGATGATACACCAAGTCATGTTTTATGCAGCTTGTTTGCTAAATGCGGTATTACTTTATGTGACAGTGTTTCTCGATCATTGTGAAACGCAGCCTGATTGATCAGACGGTCTGAGTTCGGGAGCTCTCGATCCGGCCTCGGATGAAACTTCACTGTCTGCCTCATAATGTCTTGGTAACAAAAGGTCCCACAGTTTAAGTTACTACCACACCCTCATCTTCTATGTCCATCCAGGGTTATAACAGTGACAATTGTCTGTTTCTTTTTTTCCTGGATTCGTGCAGTGGGGACAAGCGGTAGATTATGTAACTCTATCTACAAAGGTTTACGTTGTAACATTTTCTTTGTTGTTGCTTTAAACTAAGCCCTTAAATATCGCCTAATCCTAGTAAAGCGAAGACAGATCAAACATATACACCCTAAACAACATGGTCCACAAAACACTTTCAAATAGCATAGCTACCTCTTCAGTCTCTTCTTCCTTCTTTCGAAGCTGTCCCATCTTTAGAGTGATCCAGTCACTTTCTTTCCCATCACAGAGCCGCTTTCCCGCGCGCTTCTGAACATTGCTGTTTTCTGTGGAAGCTGGAGACGGTTTGTTATGCCACTTATTGAGTGAAAGGCCTGCTGGCATAGGTGAGGTTTTTTCCGATTGTAGGTTGTGAAAGCGAGCAACTATCACTTACAATCGTTCTGTTCGTGGAAGTTGAGAAGGTTCTCGTTAACTCGTCATTCTCAATGCTTGAAACTTTGTCTGTGTCTTTGGTGCCAGTGAAAAGCTCTCTCAGCGGTGAACGGAGGGGTAACAAATCTGTCCGTGTGACTGTGGAAGTACTAGTTTTCTAGCATATTCCACTGCGATTGGACTGTACCTTGGCTGGTATGAAAATCTTTAGGGACTTCCGCGGTACTTAACAATGACTAGGGGCTTCTCTTGCAGAATCTGGATGGGTCCTCTTGTTAGCAGAGCGAGGAATTGAATTGAAAAGCGTTTCACAGTTTCCAGAGGTACAACCTGCCGCTGAATGTCACTGCAAGTACACTTGTTTCAGTGGCATGCCGGTAAACTAGCTAAGCTTAGTGCTTGTATAGCTAAGTACATGACCTATATAAATAAGATTTACATTTTTTTAATACAACAGTCACTTTGAAGATCATTTTCCTTTCTATTTTTTATTAAAGAAACGGTGCTACCTGACTGGACAGAGCTCTTTGACAAACATGTTCTCTCCCCATCAAGTCCTAGACGGCAACTCTCACTTGTAGATGCCATAATTATGAGCCCTTGTCAGTGAAGTGAGATAAAACTTGGAGTCTCAACCGACCCACAGCTCATATCATGCGGATTAGATCCGGCTATCCCGTTATACCCATGTTCTGTTATTTGGTTTGGCGTCTGGTTAGTGCTAAGAGAATATTCAGTAGGCAAATCCTCCTGCGTAAACTACAATGGTGTAAGGGTAACTGGACACACTTCCTGGAATGGATCCGAATACACCAGTCAGTACAACTAAGTACTAATTTTAAAATGGTAAGTTCAGGACAATGTAATTAAGAAACAATTGGAAATGGTTATTTGTAGGAAATTTAAGTTAGAATTCTATGAAGACAGTCATCGGATTATTCACTCTCAATTTCTATGAGGTCATAGTTGATTTGGCCTATGCTCATCAACTATCACCTCATTTACTGAATAGCATAAGAACGCAAAGGATGGTTCAAGAATCTTCTCAATGGCGGAGATGTTTTCATCAATTGCACTTCCACAGTGTGTATAAAGTTTTTTCCAATGATATTAAATGAATTCAAGGCACCCAAAGCCCGTCCACATTACACCAGAGGAATCTGAAAATGCATCAAATGTTTCCGTCCACGCTACGCTCGGGAATCTGGAAACGCAGCAGTAACCGGTAACATAGTGACAGAGATCGGGAATAAGAGAGAAACAACTTTTATTTCTGATGATAAAATCAAGTTTCTTTTTTATGTGTAACTCTCTCACATTTATTCTCACTTGTCTTAAAAAATCTGGTTTGTTTCACAGTTTAAATTAAGTAAGTAACTTAATTTGACCAGGGTAACGTAGCCCAATTCAACAACATGGCTGGTATCCATAGGGGCCCATCATTTTACTGAGTCCATAGCCAGCTTAATTGGACTCAAGGCCCAAGAGTGCAGAGTACACAAACAATCAGGGAACTTGAGCTATCTATTGAAGAGAGAAAGGGAGTCATTACTAACTTAAGGTTGTTAATTACAGAGCTTAGGCACTGAAAGTTTTGAAACATGGAGATTAACCTGTCAACTAGAAATATTTTCCTTTCAATCACTATTTTCAGTAGGGTTTTTGCTTTCTTCCACTTATTGCCAGCATGGCTCGTTGTAAAATATGGATCTGCAAATCTAAAAAAACTGAGATAGTTATCTTCGAAGTAGATTCCTAACCTTGATTAAAGTAAAAAATAAAGCATTTGGCAGTGTGTGAATTAAAAGATTTAACTTTTATTTCGCAGCAAGTCCGAGACCAAGACAGAGAAGTCTTCTAAGTTATGCGCCAGGTAGAAGAGCTGTCGCAGCAGCAACCAGTAGTAATTTTAGTCTAAGTGAATTTGAAGAAGATTTCTCCAGTTCTGTCGGTCGGCAGACTTCAGAAGTTAATTCTGACAGAGGTACCCTTGGTTTTAGTTTAATGACTCACTTATGTTTTGCCAAGACAATATTTACATATAAACAGTAGCCTCCATTTGGCGTGGAAATGTGCTCGGATATTTGTCCGCGGACATTATCTGTTCTGAGAAGCAAACAGTTTTCCGAGAACGTAGCTTGAGGAAAGCTGTGAGCTTCGAGGAACAGATAATGTCTAAGGGCATATATCGGAGCATATTTTCGTGCCAAATGGAGGCTATTGTGTTGATTATCCTTCAAACATTTTTCGCAACACACGTAGTTTTGAAAATTGGGGAATATGACTCGGATATTTCCCAGTTTTAGCTGGGGAATTTTCTAATTCAGTCACGTGACGCGTTTAAACCAATCGAGCACAAGCAAAAAATAGTCCCCAGAGCTGCCTTTCGTCTTAGCCTTGGCGCAAGGAAGAGGTTGCTCTGAGAAATTAGGTTTGATTGGCTGGACTAAGATTTTCACTAATTCTCTTACTAAAACCACCTTTTCAGCCCCTGCAGACCTAAAGGAAGTCTGAAACTGGCAATTACTAAAATAGTAGAAATAATTTTTAGTGAAGTACTAGATAACGAAACATGTCAACCCCACTTCCCACCAGAATTTCAGTTCGTTTCAAATTTCCTTTGTTAAATTCTCTTAAGGTCAACAAGTGCTATAATCAAACACTTTTATTAATATTAGATCAATAAGTTTTACTAGTGGATATTTTAGGGAAGGAACGTTGAGTAAGTGAAAATCTTAATCCAAAAATCTAGTCAATCAAACCAGACTAGCCATCTTGTCCTCTTGCAAAGGCAAGAGCCGCATTCCCCTGTTAACATTTCCATACTAATGTCCTCACAGATGACTGATAGGTCATGAATATGTTTGCACAGAGAGTGCAGATCAAAACGATTAATAGACGTCAAAGCCATGTTCTGTCAGTTTATTTATGCTGCTTATTAGATGGACCTCCCTCCAGATTTAAGCCAACTCAAACCCTCTTAACAAAACGTGTACGCCCCGGGCAGGGCAGGCAACCAACATTTTGTGGACTGATGTTTTAGAACCAAGGAAAGATTGATAGTTGCAAGCAAACTAAACCTTAATGAAGCAGCCGTCATTAGCCCAATTTGTAATATGTGCTGTCTCTGCATCATCCTCTGTATGAAATCTTTTTATGCAATTGTCACTAAAAAGAATTGCCTTATAAATGTGTCAACATTAATAACATTGACACCATTATCATGGTCATCATGAACATCAGCATCACATCGTTTCATACTCTAACTGAGGAGTATGTGATTATGTGAGACCTCCAACAACTGTGTACTCCATTGCTCGATCGTCACTCTTCCAATTGTGAGACTATCCAATGTAAAATTTTAGAAATAAAGTGAATCGGATTCAGCGTATTTTATTTTTCAAGTTTTAGATCACCCTAGTATGTTGCTTAGAAGAAGAAAGGAAGAAAGAAAGAAAGAAAGAAATTCAGGAGAACCTGCGGCCCCACCACCAACAGTGCCAGCTACCCGAAGTGAAAACAGAGACATGTCTGAGATTGACACTTTACAACAACAAAGGCTCAGAGGTACACTTATTCCAAATGTTGGACAGTATAAATACAGTGGAAACTTGTTTATCATTGAAGCAGGCACCAAAATCTGACCTTATTAACAGTCAGACTGACCATATTATATACAAGCTTGGCCGGCCAATTTTATATACAGTGTAAATATACAGGGTCTAAGCATTTGTAATTATTTAGAAATAGCCCTAAGAAAATATTCGCATTGATTGGTCTAAAATCATGTTTCTATTAAACAATTAGATTATGAGCTCGAGATTTCTATCACACTTAGAAATCGAAAGCAATTAATCTAATTGTTTTAGTATAAATCTACTAGTCGTTCAAAACTTCATCTAAATCCTCTTCACAAACACCTGGAAAGTGCAAAGAAGTGGCCGTCATTTTGCTAACAAGTGCACACTGCTACACTACTCGCTACGGTGGAACCCCGCTATAACGAAGTGCCACGGTACCGAAAAAAATGTTCGTTATAGCGGGGTCTTCGTTATAACGAAGGCCCCTTTATAACGAATTATCTGGTTAACAGCAAAAATATTCGTTATAGCGGGGTAATGTTGTAGAACTGTAATGGTACGAGACGATAATTCCCTAACCATTAGATCAATACCTAGATATGGTAAGTAAATATTCTATGGCTGACACTGTACATGTACATCCTCGAATTTCACTTTTCAACAGCTCGCCTGCAGCGCCTCTTGTGAGATGGGTCAGTTATTTCAACTTGTTTTAAGTATAANCGAGACCCTCAACGTTGCCGAGCGGAAACAAAACTCACTGTAAACTCACTGTTTCACTAGAGGCCAGTCATTAAGAGTTGGTGAGTTTTGACCCACGACACTTGACGCGTTCTCCTCCAATCGGAAAACGTATTTGAGTTGGAGGTATAACGTTTATTAATCTCGCATCTGATTCTAATATTCGCGTTATCTGAGTAGTATAATAATATGGTATTGCGTATCTCACGGTCTCATGAGCCCGAGGGCATGAAGAGGACAGAGTGAGTGAATTTCTTAGCATGTAACCTTAGCATGTCTGAGATGTAAAGGACTGTAATACTCCGGTGATCTGTTGAAGACACAAGCGATCGAAAGTCACTTTGGGAGAGTATGCTGCCACCATTACTGAGGTCGAAACAAGATTATTATTCGATAACTTACCTTACTAACATCTTCACCACGTTAACAACCATTTGACACTCTCTTTTGTATACCTACAACGACAAACAATGACAAAGAGCCATTAATCATTGACTGTGAAGGTGATGATGATACACCAAGTCATGTTTTATGCAGCTTGTTTGCTAAATGCGGTATTACTTTATGTGACAGTGTTTCTCGATCATTGTGAAACGCAGCCTGATTGATCAGACGGTCTGAGTTCGGGAGCTCTCGATCCGGCCTCGGATGAAACTTCACTGTCTGCCTCATAATGTCTTGGTAACAAAAGGTCCCACAGTTTAAGTTACTACCACACCCTCATCTTCTATGTCCATCCAGGGTTATAACAGTGACAATTGTCTGTTTCTTTTTTTCCTGGATTCGTGCAGTGGGGACAAGCGGTAGATTATGTAACTCTATCTACAAAGGTTTACGTTGTAACATTTTCTTTGTTGTTGCTTTAAACTAAGCCCTTAAATATCGCCTAATCCTAGTAAAGCGAAGACAGATCAAACATATACACCCTAAACAACATGGTCCACAAAACACTTTCAAATAGCATAGCTACCTCTTCAGTCTCTTCTTCCTTCTTTCGAAGCTGTCCCATCTTTAGAGTGATCCAGTCACTTTCTTTCCCATCACAGAGCCGCTTTCCCGCGCGCTTCTGAACATTGCTGTTTTCTGTGGAAGCTGGAGACGGTTTGTTATGCCACTTATTGAGTGAAAGGCCTGCTGGCATAGGTGAGGTTTTTTCCGATTGTAGGTTGTGAAAGCGAGCAACTATCACTTACAATCGTTCTGTTCGTGGAAGTTGAGAAGGTTCTCGTTAACTCGTCATTCTCAATGCTTGAAACTTTGTCTGTGTCTTTGGTGCCAGTGAAAAGCTCTCTCAGCGGTGAACGGAGGGGTAACAAATCTGTCCGTGTGACTGTGGAAGTACTAGTTTTCTAGCATATTCCACTGCGATTGGACTGTACCTTGGCTGGTATGAAAATCTTTAGGGACTTCCGCGGTACTTAACAATGACTAGGGGCTTCTCTTGCAGAATCTGGATGGGTCCTCTTGTTAGCAGAGCGAGGAATTGAATTGAAAAGCGTTTCACAGTTTCCAGAGGTACAACCTGCCGCTGAATGTCACTGCAAGTACACTTGTTTCAGTGGCATGCCGGTAAACTAGCTAAGCTTAGTGCTTGTATAGCTAAGTACATGACCTATATAAATAAGATTTACATTTTTTTAATACAACAGTCACTTTGAAGATCATTTTCCTTTCTATTTTTTATTAAAGAAACGGTGCTACCTGACTGGACAGAGCTCTTTGACAAACATGTTCTCTCCCCATCAAGTCCTAGACGGCAACTCTCACTTGTAGATGCCATAATTATGAGCCCTTGTCAGTGAAGTGAGATAAAACTTGGAGTCTCAACCGACCCACAGCTCATATCATGCGGATTAGATCCGGCTATCCCGTTATACCCATGTTCTGTTATTTGGTTTGGCGTCTGGTTAGTGCTAAGAGAATATTCAGTAGGCAAATCCTCCTGCGTAAACTACAATGGTGTAAGGGTAACTGGACACACTTCCTGGAATGGATCCGAATACACCAGTCAGTACAACTAAGTACTAATTTTAAAATGGTAAGTTCAGGACAATGTAATTAAGAAACAATTGGAAATGGTTATTTGTAGGAAATTTAAGTTAGAATTCTATGAAGACAGTCATCGGATTATTCACTCTCAATTTCTATGAGGTCATAGTTGATTTGGCCTATGCTCATCAACTATCACCTCATTTACTGAATAGCATAAGAACGCAAAGGATGGTTCAAGAATCTTCTCAATGGCGGAGATGTTTTCATCAATTGCACTTCCACAGTGTGTATAAAGTTTTTTCCAATGATATTAAATGAATTCAAGGCACCCAAAGCCCGTCCACATTACACCAGAGGAATCTGAAAATGCATCAAATGTTTCCGTCCACGCTACGCTCGGGAATCTGGAAACGCAGCAGTAACCGGTAACATAGTGACAGAGATCGGGAATAAGAGAGAAACAACTTTTATTTCTGATGATAAAATCAAGTTTCTTTTTTATGTGTAACTCTCTCACATTTATTCTCACTTGTCTTAAAAAATCTGGTTTGTTTCACAGTTTAAATTAAGTAAGTAACTTAATTTGACCAGGGTAACGTAGCCCAATTCAACAACATGGCTGGTATCCATAGGGGCCCATCATTTTACTGAGTCCATAGCCAGCTTAATTGGACTCAAGGCCCAAGAGTGCAGAGTACACAAACAATCAGGGAACTTGAGCTATCTATTGAAGAGAGAAAGGGAGTCATTACTAACTTAAGGTTGTTAATTACAGAGCTTAGGCACTGAAAGTTTTGAAACATGGAGATTAACCTGTCAACTAGAAATATTTTCCTTTCAATCACTATTTTCAGTAGGGTTTTTGCTTTCTTCCACTTATTGCCAGCATGGCTCGTTGTAAAATATGGATCTGCAAATCTAAAAAAACTGAGATAGTTATCTTCGAAGTAGATTCCTAACCTTGATTAAAGTAAAAAATAAAGCATTTGGCAGTGTGTGAATTAAAAGATTTAACTTTTATTTCGCAGCAAGTCCGAGACCAAGACAGAGAAGTCTTCTAAGTTATGCGCCAGGTAGAAGAGCTGTCGCAGCAGCAACCAGTAGTAATTTTAGTCTAAGTGAATTTGAAGAAGATTTCTCCAGTTCTGTCGGTCGGCAGACTTCAGAAGTTAATTCTGACAGAGGTACCCTTGGTTTTAGTTTAATGACTCACTTATGTTTTGCCAAGACAATATTTACATATAAACAGTAGCCTCCATTTGGCGTGGAAATGTGCTCGGATATTTGTCCGCGGACATTATCTGTTCTGAGAAGCAAACAGTTTTCCGAGAACGTAGCTTGAGGAAAGCTGTGAGCTTCGAGGAACAGATAATGTCTAAGGGCATATATCGGAGCATATTTTCGTGCCAAATGGAGGCTATTGTGTTGATTATCCTTCAAACATTTTTCGCAACACACGTAGTTTTGAAAATTGGGGAATATGACTCGGATATTTCCCAGTTTTAGCTGGGGAATTTTCTAATTCAGTCACGTGACGCGTTTAAACCAATCGAGCACAAGCAAAAAATAGTCCCCAGAGCTGCCTTTCGTCTTAGCCTTGGCGCAAGGAAGAGGTTGCTCTGAGAAATTAGGTTTGATTGGCTGGACTAAGATTTTCACTAATTCTCTTACTAAAACCACCTTTTCAGCCCCTGCAGACCTAAAGGAAGTCTGAAACTGGCAATTACTAAAATAGTAGAAATAATTTTTAGTGAAGTACTAGATAACGAAACATGTCAACCCCACTTCCCACCAGAATTTCAGTTCGTTTCAAATTTCCTTTGTTAAATTCTCTTAAGGTCAACAAGTGCTATAATCAAACACTTTTATTAATATTAGATCAATAAGTTTTACTAGTGGATATTTTAGGGAAGGAACGTTGAGTAAGTGAAAATCTTAATCCAAAAATCTAGTCAATCAAACCAGACTAGCCATCTTGTCCTCTTGCAAAGGCAAGAGCCGCATTCCCCTGTTAACATTTCCATACTAATGTCCTCACAGATGACTGATAGGTCATGAATATGTTTGCACAGAGAGTGCAGATCAAAACGATTAATAGACGTCAAAGCCATGTTCTGTCAGTTTATTTATGCTGCTTATTAGATGGACCTCCCTCCAGATTTAAGCCAACTCAAACCCTCTTAACAAAACGTGTACGCCCCGGGCAGGGCAGGCAACCAACATTTTGTGGACTGATGTTTTAGAACCAAGGAAAGATTGATAGTTGCAAGCAAACTAAACCTTAATGAAGCAGCCGTCATTAGCCCAATTTGTAATATGTGCTGTCTCTGCATCATCCTCTGTATGAAATCTTTTTATGCAATTGTCACTAAAAAGAATTGCCTTATAAATGTGTCAACATTAATAACATTGACACCATTATCATGGTCATCATGAACATCAGCATCACATCGTTTCATACTCTAACTGAGGAGTATGTGATTATGTGAGACCTCCAACAACTGTGTACTCCATTGCTCGATCGTCACTCTTCCAATTGTGAGACTATCCAATGTAAAATTTTAGAAATAAAGTGAATCGGATTCAGCGTATTTTATTTTTCAAGTTTTAGATCACCCTAGTATGTTGCTTAGAAGAAGAAAGGAAGAAAGAAAGAAAGAAAGAAATTCAGGAGAACCTGCGGCCCCACCACCAACAGTGCCAGCTACCCGAAGTGAAAACAGAGACATGTCTGAGATTGACACTTTACAACAACAAAGGCTCAGAGGTACACTTATTCCAAATGTTGGACAGTATAAATACAGTGGAAACTTGTTTATCATTGAAGCAGGCACCAAAATCTGACCTTATTAACAGTCAGACTGACCATATTATATACAAGCTTGGCCGGCCAATTTTATATACAGTGTAAATATACAGGGTCTAAGCATTTGTAATTATTTAGAAATAGCCCTAAGAAAATATTCGCATTGATTGGTCTAAAATCATGTTTCTATTAAACAATTAGATTATGAGCTCGAGATTTCTATCACACTTAGAAATCGAAAGCAATTAATCTAATTGTTTTAGTATAAATCTACTAGTCGTTCAAAACTTCATCTAAATCCTCTTCACAAACACCTGGAAAGTGCAAAGAAGTGGCCGTCATTTTGCTAACAAGTGCACACTGCTACACTACTCGCTACGGTGGAACCCCGCTATAACGAAGTGCCACGGTACCGAAAAAAATGTTCGTTATAGCGGGGTCTTCGTTATAACGAAGGCCCCTTTATAACGAATTATCTGGTTAACAGCAAAAATATTCGTTATAGCGGGGTAATGTTGTAGAACTGTAATGGTACGAGACGATAATTCCCTAACCATTAGATCAATACCTAGATATGGTAAGTAAATATTCTATGGCTGACACTGTACATGTACATCCTCGAATTTCACTTTTCAACAGCTCGCCTGCAGCGCCTCTTGTGAGATGGGTCAGTTATTTCAACTTGTTTTAAGTATAATTTTGGTTGATGTGGCTTAAAATCTGAAGTGTAAATTCTTCAGGTTAGACTATGCCCTTGGTTATGCCGATCAGTATTTGGAGGATTTTCTCCAAACTTATTTACGTTTCTTTTCTGGACATGAGTTTTTCTGCCAATTGCAAAACCTAAGGGCATGTTCCTTTGGAATGATCTAAATCAGGATGTTCACTTGGAGCATTGTGCATTGGAGGAAAGGATGAATCCACTTCGTACAAGTGATGAAGCGTCCACCTAGGCTTGACATTTTGGGTGGTTGCTTACGGGAGGTTCGACTGTACTATTTTGTTCAGCCACGGAGCAAAGTTAGAATTTTTGACCTTTTTGTTGTATGAATTGTAAAGTAGCCAGTAATTTTAGAGTATCTCATTTTCTGGTGTTTAGCTACAGTGCTTGGTGTTTGAAAACGTTTTGAAATGATGGTTGTTAATATAATTAGTTAAGATGTGGAATTTTCCTTATTTGCAGGTCATGTCCCATGTCAAGAGTCCTCTGGTGAATTAATGATATTAACTACAAGGCGAAGTCTAGTTATGCTTTGGTGATAAATAACTATATCTTCCTCAGGAGGGATGATGTTGAGCGTACTGGCTCTATGAAGACGTAAGGAATCTCGTCAGTCTCTTGATGACTTCAGCTTCCGACACAGGCTAGAACACAACAGCAAACTGGAAGTCAAATGTTAGCGTTCCTGAGAGGCACAGCAGAGAAAGACTTCTCAAGATATGACTGCTTTGTGAGTGTCATCCTTAGCCATGCAACAGAAGGTGGAATCTATGGTACAGACGAAACAGTGATTAAAATTGAGGTAATCACATCTCTCTTCCGACGCAACGAGTGCCCCTCACTGGAAGGGAAACCAGAAATATTTCTCATCCAAGCTTGTCGCGGTTCTCGACGAGATACAGTACCTGTTGACGGTGACAGCGACCCCATTCCACTTTCAAATTCATCGTTGCCAACAGATGCTGATTTTCTCCTCTGTTTTGCTTCGGCTCCAGGCCATCAAAGCTACCGTCAGCGGCTGGTCTTGGTTCATAGTTCATCTCGTCTGTTGTTGACGTGTTCAAGGAATATGCAGAAAGAGGACATTAACATTTATTAGTCGGGTCTAATGGGCCAGTACTGGTGGAGAAGTTGATGAAATTAATTCAAACCCTGACTTCGATTTTTTTTACCGTGAACTGAGCTTGTAAATTATACTGATTCTAACAGTGACAGTGTATGATTATAAGATAATTTCTAGATTATTACAGGTTTATTTGAATCAGTTCAGCTGACAATTCAACTTTTTCACAAAGAAAGTCAGTTTGTAGTTTTAACATAATATTGTAGAACTTCAGTCTTACACTGAAGAATTGTAGATACATCTTGGTTAAAGGAGGAAAACTCTCCATATTGAATATTCTTCTTCTGTGGAAGTGAATATTTGTGTCAGCGCGAATGCTGATTGTTCAGTCAAAACTTGAGTACAGTACCAGTAACGTAACTGAAATAAATTGTGATTTGCACAAACATGAACATTTACAATAGTTTACAGATTAGTACCCTTAGATGCAGTTAAATACTGGTTACATTTCAAAGTGTTTATTTAAACCTGAAATGTTCGAGCTTGTCCTAATTATCAAGTTGTATGTTTGGAAAAGTACCAATGGTGATGATGAAAAAATGTGTAATATGAGAATCTACACGTATCCAAAGAAGCAGTGCACCAGTTTGGTCTACAGTCTCCGTTGCTGGAAGGTCTTACATAAGTTTTTTTAATCCCACATCCTGCCACTATTTTTGGCTCAATCCTAGCCTGCGAACAGGCTCCCGGTGAGCCCGAACGAAGCGAACGTCCCCGCTACGATCGCTTTGCTCTCCGAATTCTTCTGTTTCGCGCTCGCCGAAATTTTTTTCCGTCCTTGCCGGGAGCCTGTTCGCAGGCTAGCTCAATCCCACCAACCCGCCCCAGTCAGAATATTTATCTTGATTCTACCTGGTAAGAGTTACAGTTCTCTGCGTAACATCTGTAATATGCGATTTTCCATTTTTCATCACGCATCCCGCTGTCAATCTTAAAACTATCTTGCATCCCATCTGTCAAAATGAGCAAATCCCGTTCCCACCAAAATATTTTTATCCCGCGTCCTGCAATTTAAAGTCCTGGCATCACGTACTCCGCCAAACCTATATGTTGGGCCCTTTTGCTGCTGTTATGCGGATTATTGTGTAAATCGCTTCACACTGACTGAGCAAACTTGTAGCAAAGGATCCATAGGTTCTCAAATGAGGTGGAGGGCTAAAAGAGATAAAGGCCGTTTCTTGCTTGATTGAGAGGGTCACATTGAAGCTGGGCCATTTCTTGCTTCCTTGATGCGTTCAACATTTTACAATCATATTGCCAAAGAATTTTCAACTGGTACTTACTAGTGACATATTTATTATTACTAAATTTAGTTTTTTCCCAGGTGTTTAGTGATTTACTGAATGATTTATTTTGCCGATTGTTTTTTTTTTCTTTTTCCCCTCATTTTGTCTCCTTATTTTCCCCCT